GGGTCCACGCGGGCGGAGGGAGCGGGTGGTCCCTGCCGGGTTGGTCCCCGCAGCGCCGAGGTGCAGCGCTGTGGGGACCTACCCAGCAGCACCCCAGCTGCTCTGTCCCAGGAGCCCAGATCCAGCCGCTGATGAAACTGATCAGCGGCTGATTCCAGGGAGCCTGGGGCAGAGCAGCTTTGCCTCGGGCTTCCTGTAGTCAGCCGCTGGTCAGTTTCAACAGCGGCTGAATCTGGACGCCAGTTCCGACTTCCATACAAATTCAACTTAAGAACAAACCTACAGTCCCTGTCTTGTATGTAACCCGGGGACTGCCTGTAGTTCTTTCTGAATCCTGTCAAAGTCCTGGTCTTCACAACATCCTCTGGCACAAGCTCTGGAACATCCTTGGGAGTTCCACTGGTTGACTGTGCACTGTGTGAAGAAAAATTTCCTTTTGTTTGTTTTAAACCTGCTACCTATTAATTTCATTTGATGACTCCTAGTTTTTATGTTATGGGAATAAGTAAATAACTTTTCCTTATTCATTTTTCCACACCAGTCATGATTTTATAGACTTCTATCATACTCCCCCTTACTCTCCTTTTCTCTAAGATGAAAAGTCCAAGTCTTGTTAATCTCTCTTCATATGGGACCCATTGGAAATTCATTCATCTGAAGAAGAGGGTTGTATCCACAAAAGCTCATGATATCATCTACATGTTTTGTTAAGTCTTTAAGGTACTGCTAGACTATTAATTGTTTTTTAATTTTTTCCAGTTACAGACTAACTCAACTATCCCTCTGAATCAACTGAACTGTATACACAACAACATCCTCAGTCTCATTGTTCAGTTTATAAATACAATGAAAAGGTATATTTTACAGTCTATTACAATAAAAAGGTATATTTAATTCTGAAAAACTCTAAAGGAATGGAAAAAAATATTAATTTCCAAAAGCATTCTGTGTCTTTAATGACAAATATAGACCTAATCCAGCAAGTACTAGAATGCATAGCTAAATGTGACGGATGAGCAACCAGATGTATAAACCCTTCACTGCACTTGATAAAGCTTCCTGTCTTCCAAAAGATCAAGTAGCTGGTGTTGAAAGAGGAAGTAACTCTGCTGGCTGTTAAAGTTAGTCATGAGACATAGGGTAGAATTAGTTAGTTTCATGTGCTCATCCAGTATTACTGAACTTTGGGATCAGACACTGGTTTGGCTAACACCATCACCTCCAACTGTGAACTTTTTCAGCCCTTTTACGATGTTTACAAATGTGTGTTCACTATTTCCTAACACATCTAAATTCTATATTCATACTTTTTATATGCAAATATGAAGTGTTTAAGTTACACTTAACTGAGTCTTAACTTCTGAGTTTTCTGAATCTCCCTGGCATGCATTAATTTTTTCAGGACTTCTCCCTAAATGACTAAAAAACACACAAGATTTAAACAACAGATAAAGCCTGAGTAAGAATCAATATACCACAGCAAAAAATTAAACGTAATATGGACATGTGAAATAAAATACTGAACTAAATAAGCATTTCTTATAATCTTAGAAAATGTTTAACTAAGACACAGGCTACTTACATTTAAAGCAAAATAGATGTGTTTACAGGAAATCTTTCCTCAGAAGTTGATGAATGCCTTCAATGAATAGTAAAACATCCAAACTGAACAGTTTGCACAGAATCTATGCAGTAAAGCTAGATAAGAAAAATCACAACAGTTAAAGCAGTTATAAAAATACGTGCACAATGCTGTTAGTAGAGCCTGTCATGGCCCCAAAAGAATTAATGCCTCTACTGATATGAGATATTCATTACTAACTAGCTGTAATAAAATAACATTTCCAGTAATTTTCCTGATGAAGTTAGATAGAAAGATGTTCCCACAGGGAAAGCAATTCTCAGTGGATATGTCTATGCTGACATGCAAGCCCAATGTTAGTAAGATTCGAGTCAGCTGACCAGATTATGGAACCCTGGTCTTGAGCATCTACACTATATT